ACTCCTGCCTTGTATGAGCAGCTACTGTGCAGCTCTCAGAGCTATGCCAGTCTCTGCTAGCCACCAGCTGCCCTCTGGACAGCCCCTTTGCCAGCAAAGAGCTGGGGCTACTCCACCCTCTGGTCTTATGATTGCTAAATATAGAGTCCATTGATAAATAACATAAATGCATGAAGGGCACAAGAACCAACAGTTGTTGCAGTTAGCTAATACAGCCTTTTCCTCTGTTCTTTTGCCTGTGTCTCTGTGGCCTTTCAATATCACCCTTTGCATTTTGAGTAGATATCTCTGCACACCAGATTCATACTCAGTTCTCATTGCAAGAGTGACCAGGATCAGGCCTTTAGCATGCAATTCAGCCCAGAGAAATGATTCTGTAGGAAACAAAGTCTTGTCTGGCAACTGATGCTGTGGTCACTCTCTGCTTGCACCCATCAACGTTGTCTGGTCTGCTGCCATTGTTTAATAGCCCTATTTGCTGAGTTAAAGCCAGTTTGGGCAGCTAAGCCACAGGGTTTTGCACAGCTATTTCCAAGGCTCTAATCTGGCCAGCAGAAACTTAATTTCCTTGTGTTTTATTAGGACTAATAAAGTCTCACCTTTCCTCAAAACGTGTAGACTGAGTGCATCTGACATGGAAGTAAGTGCAAGATGGTGAGACCTCAAATGTGAAGCCTGTACTCCTAAATCAATGGTGATCTTAATGGGAATAATTCCATTCAAGGGAAGTGTCAGATAAAATGAGTCTATTTCCCTAGGGAAGTGTGTTCTTTTATAAAGCTCTGCTGAACCTTGCCTTTCTAGAAACCAAATTGGCAGTCTCTTTGTTTTGCAGCCAAATTCCTCATCCTAGGCCTGGAATATGTCCTGAAAAATATTTCTAGAGAATCTCCTGTTATAAATAACCTGGAGGAGGGAAGTATTCTATGCATCCTTCCTAGAACAGAGAGCAGTAGGCTGCAAAAGGGTATGAAGAAAGGGTTGATCTCTCGTACTAGAGGAGAAAAAATATCTTGATTTTGAAGCTGTTTGCACTGTGTGCTCAGGATGAGTCACATGAAAGGCAAATTGAGATAAGAGAAAAGACTCCTGAAAGAAAATGACTGATGTTAATCTCTGTATCCCTGCTTACATGGTCTTTGCTGTAGAAATAAAAGCACTGAACTTCCCTGTAATGTCTCCTTAAAACGTGCAGCACCACCAGTTCCCCTGAGCTTCCTCTCTGTGCCCTCACTGTATGTTCTCTATGCATAAAACCTTTCAGGAGGTTTTTCCTTTGTGACCTGTTTATAGAGGGTGCTCATGGTCAGCCTGTCCCAACCCTCCTGCAGCTGTTAGAGCTACACCATGTCCCATCTCTAGCCACGCTGGCTCTGAAGCAGTCACATGTGAACTTTTGTCATGTTTCTGTAGTTGCATGTGAATATCACTAGATGTCCTCTACTGCTAAGTAGCTTTACCGTGGTTTGTGCCAAGCACTAGAGAAACTCAGTGAAATCAATCTCAGCTGTTAAAGATGTCTATTTTATAGCTTCATCGTTCCTAGTCCATAGATGCACAGCAATTGCTCATCCATAGCTGGAAGTAGTGATCTGCTACCTCTGTCCAACTGTACTTACAGTGACAGCAAAGCTACTATATTGGTTTCTTTCAGATTTGGAGCCAACTGGCAGTGGTAGGAGCACCTCAACTTTTTTCTCTGCAGCTCGTTTGAGGCTGAACCATCAGACAGCATTCAGGCTTTGGTCTCCTTGCGCTCTTCTCCAAATCCAACACCAAGGGTCAAGCCTATGGGGCTGTGCTCTAGCAGGATCTGACACAATGTAGAATGGTGCATACACCTCTGCAGGGTGCAGCCAGGTAGAGCTCCCTTCTCTAGCACAACCCAGCTGCCCTCCAGGCAGTGATGCCAGCAGCACCTTGGATTAGCTCATGAGACAACCACTGCATCCTCTCAAACCCCATCTCCATCTTCTAATTTCCCTGCAGGGACGTGGCACTGGCAGGAACTGCACAGACAAAAATCCTACCTCTTGCACTGTTCCTGCAGAGAAAACATTACCTTTTTTTTGGTGCAAACAATCCCTGCCTTGCTGTAGTGCTGTGCAAGCCCTTGTGCTTGCAGCTGCCTGCTAAAGACTTGGGGCAAGGGAATTGTCCCCAGCAGCCCAAAAGACAGCTGGCAGCAAAACAAGCTAAAAGGCTTATGCTGCACTAACCCACTCAGCTTTAATATGGGATAATAAACAGCCACATTCATTTGGACCTAATAGTGAAATATTATGCTATATAAATAATGTGTCCTCTGATTTAGAGGGAGCTTGCCTGAAGTACAATGTGACCTGAGCAGTTCAGAGACTGTATGGTCACTTTAATCTATTCACTGAAGCTGAAACAGACTGGAAATGTCATGTGCTTAAATTTGTATGGGGGGAAATGTTGGCTGAAATTTTAAGACACTCTTTTCTTTTAGCTTTGCATTTGGTTCCACAGTTTGAAGCGTCGCCCATCCTGCACTCACATCCCCCCAGGGAGGGCTGGTAAAGGGGAAGTTCTTCATGCCTCTGCCTCTGCTGTCAAACTGAACGTGATGTTTTGTTTGAGGGCTCCTTGGGGTGACTCAGCAGGATACAAAAATGCACTTAAATAGGAGTTATATTGTATAAGCGCTCAACCACAGCAGCAATTCCCCTTTAGCAATGTTGTTAATGAATACACACTACAAGAAATTTAATGCTGCTCCAGATACTGGCTGGAATTGAAAGAGGACTTTTTGGCTTTCCTCCTTACATAACTGTAGTATTTCTTATGGATAGGAAGGCTACTGAGAACTGACGAATAGCCTGGATACCCGATATACAGGAACTAGGCCATGGGCTTCTCCTCTCAAATGTTACAGACTTTGGTATGAAATGCATCAGAGATCTTCAGGTTTGGGGGTTTGGGTGTCTGAATATTGGGCTTGGTTTGCAAATGCAGTTATCTCCTCAGAAGCAGAAATGTGCCTGCTCTGAAGGGCAATCTGTTTAAGATGCCCAAATACAAAGATGCTCAGATTTAAAGATCTAAACCTGAAATCTTTGACCTACCAGTCCCAGACTGATGTCCCTGCAGCAGTTAGTGACATTTCCACACTTCAAGGGTGTATAAATAACCTGTGTGCAGCTTTGCCAGTTCTGCCCCCACTGGTGGCAAGATGTGCTGATAGCAAAAACCAGATTCCTCGTAGCCAGTCACCTCCATCGCTGCACTGCCCTGGGAAGTCCCCCTCCATCCCAATCTGCCCTGGCAAACTGAGGAGACTCTTTTGTACTAGAAGGAAAATTTGTAGCCAACAGAGAAGCTGAGTTTCACACCAAATTCAGGTCTAAATATATGACTCTTGTTGACAAACACGTCTTACAGACCCAGCTGTTGATTTATGTGAACAAAACATCTCTATCCCACACTTTGGTTGGGAAAGCCTGTGGGAGTCGTCCTGGACATGTCTCCTGTGTCTCTGGATGGGGTGAGATTAGTGGAGAATACGCAGGGTCAGCAGTCATGGGGGCCACAGCCAGGTGTGCTATGGTAGCTTGCTGTGGGTCTGCTCCCTCACACCTCCCCCATGCCGCTGGACAAGTGCAGATTTTGAGGCAGACACTTGTGTATCTTGTTTGTGAAATGGCAGCGTGCTCCTCTCTGCCTCTTACTTATGTGGGAAAGATAGCATGGAGGCTGTCTTGTTTCATGCATGCTGCAGTGTGGGACCAGACTGCCTCGGGTAGTACCTTTTGGGAGAGCAGTGGAGTGTACTTAATGCTAATTTGGCACAGGAGGGGAGCTGGGGCTGTTTGCTTATGTTTAAGAACCATATCAAATGTACATTTTCTTTGCACACCAGCAAGGAGGCAGGACCTGACCCAGCAAGGTAAATCAGCAGGTGCCTAAATGTAGCTCTCTGAGATGCTCTGGGCGCTTGGCATGTCCCTGAGCTCTCTGTAGGGTTGTGCCCAAGATAATTCCATGGTAGTACATGGGCCCATCCTTACTCCATGGATTATTCCCACATGGGCATTGCCAGCCTCCTCTGTGAGGGCAGCATGTGTCAGTGAGTGCATGCCCACGCGGGAGCAGGACTTTTGCTCATCTCTGATGCAAGGTGTGAGGTGGCAAAGGAGCCCACAGGTGAGATGTGAAGTGATGCTTTGGTTCTGTCTCCCAGTACCAGCCAAAAGCACAAAGGAGAAGTAGGAAAAGTAATCACTGCACACATGTTCCCAGAATCCCATCTAGGATGAGCTCCGATGTATTAAATGCAAATTCTGTTATTGCTATAAAAGTCGATGAGGCTTGGTGGGAGGGGGAAATGTGGTGGGAGTAGGGCTGGTGTGCGTACAGCAGCTGGTTCTCAAAGGCTCAGTGTGTGCTGTGCTCATGTGACATGAACGGCGTTTGTATCATCCCGTGCCCTCCGGCTGCTGCCCCGTCCATCAGGCAGAGAACCGGCTGTTCACTCTCCTCCTCCTCCTCCTCCTCCTCGTTTCCTGGCGGCAGCACAAACCCCCACGGCCCGGAGGGTCGCTCCGCTCCCCCTCAGCCACAGCCCCGCGGGGCCAGGGGTGCCGGCCGGGGAGAGCCGCGCCGAGGACCGGCCCCAGCGGCTTAAGGTGCCGCGGCCGCTCCCGCCCCGCGGTTCCACCTTAACGCGGCGGCGGCGGCGGACGGGCCCATTGCCGCGCCGGGGGTCGGCGGGCCCGGGCCCCCGGGAGCCGCCCCGCCGCCCGCGCCCGCCGGAGAGCGGCACCGACACGGGTCCAAAGTGACAGACACGTCCTTGCCGCCGAGCCGCAGGTGATGGCGGGTCCTCGCACCGCCGCGAAACCCCCTCCGGCGGCGCCCGGCCCGGCCCCCGGCGGCGGGGCCGGGCTATTTATAGCAGCCGCCGCGGCGATATAAGGGATGGCCGGCGCAGGCTGCGCTGCCGCGGCCGCCGGGGCGAGAGCGGGTGGGGGCCGGCGGCGCTGCCCGGCCGCGGGCGCCTCTCGGCGGGCAGGGGCGGGCGCTGAGGACGCGTCCCGCAGCCCGGGTGAGCGGGCGGGGAGCGGGCTCGGTGCGGGGCTGTTCTGTTCTGTTCTGTGAGCGGCGCGGGGCGGACACAGCCAGGCGAACAATAACCCGCGGTTCGTGCCGCCCCTGCCCCGCGGGGTGCGGGACAGCGCCACGCCACTCGCAGCGCTCCACGCGTGACAAGCCCGCGGGAGGGGCGGGACCGCCGTGACACCCGGCGGTGACCGCGGCGGGGCTTCCCCCTCGCCTCTTCTCCTCTCCTCTCCTCTCCCCACAGCGATTCCTGCCGAAATGCGGCGCCCCGCTCTGGCATGAGCCCCCGGGCCGGGAAGAGCGCGCCCCGGGCACCGCCGCTTTCCCTGGCCAGGGCTCGGTGTCGCGAAGGAAGGGCTGTCGCCGGCCGTGGCCGCGGAGCCGCCGCTCGCAGCAGCGCCGGACGCGGGACGGACGGTACGGGGGCTCCGTGCTGCGGGTGGGCTGCGGGCCCCGGGGGGCTTCCCTGTCGAACGCTGGGAAGAAAAGGGAGTGTATGGCGCAGTGCTCGGAATGCTATGGGGTCCGTGTCTTCTGGGTGTGCGCGCTGAGAAGAGGGGTCGCTCTGAGTTACTCTGTGTAATGGAAGGTCTTTTGTAAGTTGAGGGTTAGGATTTTGCTTGTATCGGGGTGTTCCCCCCACCCCGCCACGGATTCAGAGCTACGATAATGTTTTACTTTCCTACCCCGTGTGTCTTCTGATCTGATCTGGCTATGGCGAGGTTTCTTATCTTGCATTAAAACTGCTCTTGGACAACTGAGTACTTAGTGAAAGCTTCCATATTCACATGTTTGAGTTGTTTGCTAGACTTTTAGAAGAAAGATAGAGATGCTGTCTTCAATTACGAAGAAACAAGGAGAGAAGGAGGTACTGGGTTTTTTCTGGTTTTACTTTACTTTTACTTTATTTTTTTCTCTCTGCTTTAAGAAAACAAACTGAACCACAGTTGAAGGACAAGGATTTTTCAACTCTTGTGACTGGGATTGCTGGGGATTAGAAAGAAAACTTGTAGCTTTTTTGTTTATTTGTTTTAATCAACGGCTCAAGAGCCCTAGAAACAGTGTAGAAAGAGCTGCTTCCTAGGCAGAGAAACTAACATGCAGCCACGCTGGCTGCAAGCTGAGGAGCAAGTTAAGTGTTAGACCTCGGGTGGACCAGTCTCAAGCATCCTGCATTTCGCTGCTCCAGTGAGCTTCCCTGTCGAGCCGATCACGTTAGGCAACAAATTGGGACTTCACACCGGCAGGTCAGACTGGGCTTTTGTTAAAGAGCAAAGCATACAGTGGAGTCCTAACCCCAGTGTGAGGCTTTTTCCCAGCGCAGGGAACTGCAGCCCTTCAGCGCTGTCAGCTGGCACTGTTCTATAGTAATGTTACAGAAATATGAAAATCTAAGCCACCAACTCCTCAGGTAGCTTAAGTCATCTAAGTTCGGAGTTTGGTTGCAGACTTAAAGGGATGCTGTTGACTGAAATGTTCTATGTATGTCTTATCTGGAAACTGTTGTTCATGCAGTAGCTGGTACTAAGAAAAACACACCAACTTTGTGGTCATACCTGGCTATAGAGCTACTTTCTGAATTTTCACTGTGAAGTTATCTGGTTAGCTCAGGCTCTTTCTGCATGCGAGAAATGCATTTCAAAGGCCTAAACCTGTCATTTTTCTTTATGAAAGGTTCTTTCTGTTGCTCTGAATTTGTAAAGAGCTTTGCAAGAACAAGGTCTATTAAATTAAGAAGGCTGTGAGAAAGATAAGAGAGAACAAGGGGTGTGACAAGGAAATTATGAAGTAATAGTTTTAAAAAAACCACCTCTCTCTAGTATAGCCTTGGACTGCCTAAGAGAGGTAGAATCTCTCTTTCAATATACTTGAGTCTGAAAACATAAAGCTGACAGCATCTCCTTAGAAGTAATAGTGTATATAGAAAAACAGGTGGGTTTCATATTATAATTCTGCATCAATTTGTCTTTCTTTGATTTTGCTCCTCCATTCCGGGAGATATCCTGTATGATAGAGCACATAGCCCAGATTGCAGAGGGTCAAACACCCCACCAGCATGACTCCTGAACCAGAGCAGCTGCACCAGGATCAGAGCTGGTTTAGCACCAGTTTTCAGAAATGATGTGAGAGGCAGTTCTACTTATTGTTTTTGATGGGTGTTTCTGTAAGCTGGAACTAAGAATTACAGAAACTAAACTTGTCTTCTTCATGGGGGGAGTTTTTTGTGTGTGTTGCATTGGGTGTTTTTTTCTTAAACTGGACCTGAGGCTAACCCTAAGGAGGAATAAAACTCTATCATCTGGTGGTTAGAGAGGACTTCCTTCCATCTCCTCACACATTTTTTTGGCACTGAGAGAGACATGGAATTTGGGGACTGGAAGGAGGAGGATGAGTCCTGTGTGTTGTCATTGGCAAAGTAGTACATGATGGCAGCGTAAGGGCAGGTGCATATAGGAAAAATGGATGTGATGATTCATTATTGTTGACATTATGCTGTGGTTTCTTCTGTGGGCTCTTCTTTAACTGCAAACAGAAGCAGTGCCTGTACCTGAGACCTCCATGGCCCTTTAGCTCACACCATGTGCTCCTGGTGGTGTTGAGACCACTAGGGCAGAAACTCTGCTCCCTCCTGCTCTTAATTCTGGACAGCTCCTTGAGGAAAGCTGTTTGGCTTCATTCATTTCTGCCCTTTCATTTTTATCTTCCTTCTTTGGATGGGAAATATTTTTTGTGGCTGGATTCAAGCCAAGAACCTCTACCCACAGCTGCCAACCCTGGCATCCCTACTGACCTGCTGGCTCCAGGTGAGTCAGTTCATTAGGATGAATCACTCTGCCCTGTGAAAGTTTTAGGCTCCAGACTTCAGCTGGACCAGTCTTAATAATTTGGTTTTACCTGGTTTGGTTGTCACTGCTTCAGCCACACTGTCACTCCCAGTGGCTCCTCACTTCAGACTCACTCAGCCTTTACAGTGGGGCCTCTGCTGGGGTGCAGTGCCCCTACACCTTGTGTAGCTGCTTTTGCCTTAGCATTGTAACTTCTCCATGACTACTCATCCCTTTACCTCTCTTACCTGTAGAGGTGGAGGCAGGAGGGATTGCACCTCAGCCTGGGAATGTGCAGCCCTCAGTGCAGAGAGTACTTCAGTCTCTGGAGGTGGAGAATATTAACATGAACCCACAGGAATGAAAAGGGGAGTGTTTTTGTATGGTGGTGGTGTTTGCATAAGCTTTTACTGTCATAAATAAGTAGATCAGGGTTGAGGGGACAGATTCTATATGAAAAACAGGGAATTAATTTTCAGGCTTCCAAGACAGGGCTGAGGAAGAGAAGTGGTGCTAAAAGATATAGATATGGAAATGTCCCTTGAAAGTGACCTTTTAAAGATCAGTGATATTATTCTTGTTGTATAAGGCACTCAAGTTTAATGAAGGATTGGGAGGATTTGGTCCCAGTGAAAACAGAATGAGCGTAGGACTGTTAGATGTGAGGAATGTTAGCCCACTCCTTGGTGGAGTTGCTGCTTTTTTTCTCCTGTTGTTGTTTACAGAGGTATTTGACAGAAGATACTTACTGGGGAGGGGAGAATAACCTTCTTCTTCTACTTCAGTGTTGCTGGCTGTATTTTTCTCCACGGGGAAACAAAGTTCCAGCACTCCAGTGGGTCACATCCTGAGTATTTGTATCCAAATTAAATCTAGAGCAAGTCCATCAACTTCAATAACATCTGCAATAAGCCACAACTGGCTCTTCCTGAACAGGGGAGAAATGAACAGCTGTTACTTCAGATGCTGATTTTTTTTGGCATATGCATTCTTTTGAGATTTATAACTCTCTTATTCTCTGTTTGAGAACGTAGTGGAGCAATTGCTGATCCATGCATGTGTCTATGTGAAAAAATGTCAGTGGAGGAGTAATATGTATGGAAATCTTGCCTAGAGATATGGCAGACTGGCCACCTGTTCTTAGATGATGAAATGATTGTACAAAAATATGTCTCCTGAAATAATGATTGAGGGAAGAGGTAGGGGCAGGAGTGGGAGAAGTTAATATTTATAAGTAGTTTGCTGTACTTATACTACTTGTGGTACTTCCTCTCCTGCAATTTTACTGCTTCAGACACTAGTTTTTCGGTAAGTGATGCTTAGGGCTGCTCAGGCATATGGGTTTCATCTGAGAGACCAGTCCAATTGCTGGAGCTAGCTGAAGAGATGGGAAACCTGACCCCAAGTACCTTCTCTGTCACAGACTGGCCTGAGGTGGGTAGGCTAAGGTCAGCAACTCTTATAGATAACAATGAATCTACCTCTCACAGAATCTGCTTTTCTTCTTTCTAAAATGAGTTAGTAGAAGTTAGTTCTTTGTGGAGTGTGTTGGGGGCATAAATATAGCAAATGCTGAGGTACTTCAGAAGGCATCTAAGTATCTGAGACATGCTGGGATGGGATTCCCCTTCCTTCTTCTCTTGTGGCCAGAACTGACCAGCAGAAATGCTCAGTGCTTCCATAACCTTTTATTAACTTTTAGCTAAGTCTCATTTGCCTCAGAATTTGTTTGCCATTGATAGGCTCAAGATTAAAATCTTGAACTACTTGTTTGTACTTTTATCTTCTATTATAGAGCAGCTTAAGAAGTTGGTGACACTCCTTCACCCTTCTCACAGGTAACGTAATGCCTGTCCTGCCTTCTCTTTAAGAAGGTCTGCTTCTGGAAAGAATGTTGTACCAAATATATAACTTTATGTGGGGTGGTAAAAATGGCTTATTGTATCTTCATCGCTTCTCTTGACTGTATCTTGCTGGTTCTTGGTCTAGACATGAATGTCACTGACGACTTCCTGGGGACTATTTTGTGTCTGAGTGGTGACTTGTAAGGATTCAGGTGATGGGCCAGACTGGTTTATGTAGTGAGTGCTGTTAGTCCACTGAAGACCAAACAGCTGCTCCAAGTTTCCATCACCTCCAGTGAAAACAGGTACAACTGCATCAGCTTGCAGCCAGTTTACAGTAAACCTACTCCTTGAGCTGTGGGCTAACCTGGTTAAGTGTCTCCTGCAGTCAGGTCTCTTACTCTTGTATGTGAAAATAAGTCTTAGTGTGCTTTCTGACTTACTGTAGTGGAAATAAACCAAGAAGGTGTTTCATGTACAGGCTCTCTCACCAGCATATATTAGTAACGCTCATCAGCTTTTGACTGGAACTTTGATGGCATAATTACTCTAAAAGGATAACATATTCAAAACTACCTGTGTGACTTTGGGAGTTAGATTCCTAAGAGTCTTAGTCATCATTTTAAACAAGAATCAGCTTTTTAAGCTATACATACTCCTGAAAGTTTTAAGAAAAGGCTTCTGTTTATCTTGTCTTTAAAAATGCCAGTTTCCAGAATGAGAGTAGCAGCTCTGCCACTCAACTCAT